GAAAATCCATATCTCACCCAACAAAGGCCATCGAGGTGCTTGTACAGAAGTCTACGGTTAGCGCTGGACGTCTCAGCAATGTTCTGCCACTATATGGACTTGTCGTCTCTGAGCAGTTGTGTGCAGTGCTTATGATGAACTAGGCTTTTTCCAAGCTTCTGGCGTTTAAGCTCGCCATGTTGCCCACAGGGAGTTAAAAGATTGAGGCGTGGGAGAATGCCGACCAATGTGAGGTCGGCTGCAATTCGCTAATTTGATGAGATACTGATAATTCGTTTGCCTAAGTACATCCCAAGCCTTGTTTAGACCTACATCAGAATCGAGTGAAGCTCATGTGTAATCGCCGGTAAGAAAGGAAGGCATCATCAACATGCCGGTACGCAGTACCGAAGCTTCGCTGCCGCGCAACCACCACTGGTCGCACGTAAACTAAGGATACTGCGAGGATCGACCTGCCCTACGCAGACTCGAACCTGCGCCGTCAGGTTACAAGACAAGCTCGTTACCTGTAGACAACGGGCCGGTAGCTTTGTTTTTTCAGATGAGCTCATGTCTGAAGTTTACATAGCCTCTGCAGTTTTTAACCGAAGCTGGAAAAGTTCCGATTTTTCCGACAAAGATCTAACACATCCGTTGCTGTTTTCTTCGATTGAGCCATGAGTTTTAGGATTCTTGAGCCGCATCCTCTATAATTTGGTGACTGAAGTAACCTTTCAAGCGATGGCGCCACAACATTATCCAAGGAACCGCTACTGTTTCAAATCGTGATTTCCGGCCTCTTGGCTATCGACAAACGGAAGTTCTGGCGCACCATGGATGAGGATTGTGTTTAGACGATGCTGCTTGTTGTGTCATTTCAGGCTGTTTCTTGTTGATTGTTGCGCGGTTCATGGGATATCAGGATAAATGCACATCCCACAGGATCCGTGTTGTAACGCACTTGTGGAGAGCAAAATGTTTTCTACATCAATGGCGGATTCTAATGTCCCAATGATAAGTCGCGGAGCGCCATAGAGTTCGGGCGACGAGTAACTCGTACTAGGTTTGTGGGTTTGACTTCTACATTTAGCAAAATGCACAATGAGTTCCACTGGTCTTGGCCGTCAGACAACTTACTCCACAATGTGATGGCGATACACTGGGGAACATGTGTGCACACGACAGTCAGGGCGCTACTGTCGGATTCCCTTTTCGATCATCGCTGCCTTCGCAGCTTAGCTCATGTCTGGTGGGAGCACCGCGTGAGCGATGAGCGTGTTCGGCGTCGCATACTTGGTGCAGGAAGAGCGAATGAAGCGTTCAGTACAGTTATGTCACGCACAAAGCTCCGATGGATGGGCCACGTGTTGCGCTTACCAACACACCAACTTCCGCAACGTGCGTTGTTTGAGCGCAAGGAGTGCGATTGGAAATGGAGGGGAGGTCAAGCGATGACTTGGTCGAGAGAAATGAAAACCCTCACTTCGAAGTTGGCGTCGGTTGGTGCATCCCGAATGCGTGGCTGAGGTCCCAAGGACGATGAACACGTTTGGTTGGACATGCCTGTTGATATGGCGAAGAGACATTGTATGAATTCCTTTTTGAATTCTCTGTGGTGTAATTTATTTTAGTATTTTATCCTGTTATACTGCGGCATCTTAGCTGAAGTGTTTTTCTCACACTCAGCTAACGTGTATTGATGACGAAAATATGGTCGTTGGTCCTACCTTAGCCCCAAGTGATGAGTGTCTACCGTTTGTCTCTCTATTCGCGTTAGCGGGGTTTGTAACAGAAGTGACCGCAATGGTGGTTTCTAGAGGGATGTTTGCAGTAAGCTCTGCAAACGTGACTGATGTCAGGGGGAAGTTGGGCTCTGCAAGAGATCTTCGAGCTGCAGATGCAGATGGATGATGTTCGGTTGAGTCATCATAATAATGATAGTTGTTGAGGACGGAATTTGATCGGTCACACGTTTCGGTTGGTCCCGGATTTTCGTGATCCTGAGTAACGCTTGACGGGCTATTTTCACCTAGCGTTCTTCCAAAGTTGGAGGAGATAACCGCAAAGGGGACTTACCTGATCGTGGTTCAGGACAAACAAAGTGTACAACATTCCTTTGCTTAGAGATCACACAGCTTTCGTGGCATAGATTTGCTTCCAAGGAATTAATCCAAGCGTTCAACCGCTGTTCGGCTTCTGCTGCTAGTCGGTAGCACTTCCGGATTAAGATAAGCATACACTTGAAGAATCAGATGGGCGAACGCCGTACAAAAACAAAGGACGACTGGTAAGCTGTGCCGCTCTCGTTGAGACAGACTACAATACATTAGATGACACCACTTGGAACAGTGCAAACAGGCTAACCTTAATTTGGAAAATCGATAACATTCTGCTGACCCACAGGTACCTTTCGCCAGTGGCTCTTTTGGATTCGCATTTACTTGATATCTGCCATCTAGCTGGCGGTGTTATCTGACACTGAGGTGGTCGATGATATATGTTTTTCCGACTTTGGACGATGCGCAATTCGGTTAGACAAGCGTTGTGGTTACAAGATTGTAGTCAGCGGGAACTAGCTATAAGAGTGGAGGCGTGGTCAGTGTGGCGGGTTAAATAGATGAACCGACAGCCAAGGTCACAAAGGATGGCAAGTGACTTCCGGATATCGACCAATTAGGAATCAATTCTGGGTGGGCAACAACGTGCCGCAAAATGCAAGCCAACGACTGGAAAAATATTGGAGAAGCACGATTTCCAGTTAAAACAATCGCCCAAAATAACCTATTGCGAACGAGTGTATACCAAAGCTAAGAGGCAACTGAGGTTGAGGTTGAACGCGTGTGTTTCAGCGATAAATTCGTCAGGAACGCAGACGTTGAGGCGACAAGAGTAGTCCAAGAGGTAATTGAACACATTGAAGAGCTGATAAATCCGGGTCGAATGAATGAAAAGTCAAGCGTGTAGCAAAATGGTGTGAATGATTCACGAAAAGGCAGAAGCGACAAATCATTGCGACCGCGGGGTGGAGAGGGTCCTTGGTTTGTTAGATGATAGTATGACATGTCGGCGTATCGATCGAGTGTAGCAACAAGCCTTGCAATCCAGGTTCATAAAAAGCATGCTGAAGCGCTCAGCGATACCGACAGCTTGATCAAAAGTCGCTGGGAAGCACATAGGTGGATAAGCAGAAGCAGGGGCTAGTATCGTTAGCCAAATGGTGCAGATAGTGCGACTGCATCGAGCTTGCCACCAAAGTGTTTACGAATCAAAAAAAGCAAATTAGGTAATCATTAACCCCGCAAAATGAAGCCGATATAGAATCAAAGAGAGCACAATGAATAAAGGTTCGTGCGATTTATGCTGCTTTGTTCTGGGAAGTTTGTAGAATGGTGACCAGTCGTCTGTTCAGGAGTTTCTCAATCTGATCATGCCTTGTCAAGCATGTCTCGCGAAGATCGAAGATGAACTATTATTATTATTATTATTATTATTATTATTATTATTATTATTACTTTATCGAGGCACCCAATCTAAGAGATTGCGGAGAAATTCGACAGCACGGATGGGTCCTTGATTCATACCGTAACGCACTCACACTCGGTTCATGCACTGAGTATAAAAGAAACAGGAAAAAAGATAGGAAGACGCAGACTTCGCAAGGATGCCACATGGACTGGAAATGCTGGATTACCCTAGTAAGTGGCCACTCTCAAAGTTGTAACGCTGAGAACTTACCAACTCAATATGCGGAGGATGATAGCTTGGAGAGTCCATAAGTGTTCTGTACGGACAGACGCCAACCATATGGTCACTTGGTGATAAGTTACTTGTTCGAGTAGAGCAGCACCACACCCCGCGGCCACAGTTGCTAATGGGCAAGTCACAAGCTCGCGTTTCTCTTACACACACTTAGTGTAGACTGTTGCTGCGTAACAAGCCATATGTTTGCAACGACACTCACCTTCTTCTACGAGCCACGCTTAACACTATATGGTGAAACTTGTAACACATATGAAGCTGCATAACCTAAGTTCGACACTAACCAAGCCACTAAAAGCGACATAGCTGGAAGCACGTCTTTTTTCTCTCCTTGATCAGTGGCACGGTAGGGGTGCTTTGCGATTCGTCTCATGTTTGGACGACCATCTTATCCGCAGTTCACCCTGTGAGTAGGATACGTGGGATGGAAGTCGATCGAAATTCAGTCAGTTCCTTTACGCGCATGGAAAACAACACGAAACAGGCAATTGAAGGGCCCAAAGAAGAGTGGTATAAAAAACTGGTGACCCGGGCAAGATACGAACGCACGTTGGAAAACACAGTGGAAATCGGAACAAGGCTGCCCATTAGCAGGCACTCACAAACACACTTTAAAACGAAGTCATTGAAGTTGGCTCGTAAGGGTGCAATTGATTTCCGGTGAGGACACCAAGCAAAAATGGCTGCGCTTACCGAACTGATGTTGTTAATGCATCCACATGCTGCATGCAGCTGGAACGGTGAGATGCTGACTATTAGTGAAGCGATGTTCGCTCGGAGAACATTTGAGAATTTCGTTCTATTTGGAGGAAGTCGCCTGTCATTGCAGCTAAGTTGGGTTGACTTCCCCAAGTAGGGCGATCAATATTCTGTTCGGTGTCAATAGAATTGAAAACCTTTTCTTGACGTTATCAAATAAGAATGTAGATTACGGAATTATTTGGGAACCGAAAGCGCATTGGTATATAAACTTTGTTTGAGAGGTAGCGAAATGGAAGGTTTCAAAAGAACAGGTACACAAGTAAGCCCGTCAGCCTAGATGAAGGTGACAGTGGCGAACAAATGGAACTGTTCGAGTCGTGGATCAGAGCCAGGGAGAAGTTTCGAATGAGGCGTAGAAAAAAGTGAATCGTTCCGATGCAAGCACACATAAGTTGGGAGAAGGGATTGACGATGAAATAACAGTGATTAACGAATTAAATGGAGATGCATTAAGAGTAGCGGCGTACAAGTGATAATCCAAACAGAGAACAGAAACCCACCAAATGATGTTATTTGGAGTAGGCGCGAAGGTCACTGTCCAAGCACGGGTGCGCAGAAGTTTAGAGGTGCTGGTTAAAGGCATCTGGCGCAGACAACTGCAAACCGAGTTGTAGGTGTGGTAAACTCTAATGGAAAGGGAGAGAAGACGAAACACAGTTGAGGCATCAGGTTTTAATCACAATCGAGATCAAATAGATATGCAGCAAACACAGGTAATTATCTTGTCCTCCTGCGGAAATAACATAGTGTGAGAAGATAATAATTCTGGAGCCACTGCTGTCCACTGTAAGCAACGACGAAAGGTGGATTGTACCGTCAAACATCGGTGATCTCAATCAGCAAATGGTCCGAAAATATGCCACGGAACGAGTGCAATTATCTAGCCAGAAAGGTTAACTAATCACACTCACTGATGAGCTATCATCAAACGGAGAACTCCGACTGCGAATCGGGAACATAACATATAGTAACCTGTGCAGGTTATCACAACGGAAACGTACCGCAATGAGAAAATTTTGCCCAAACGGACAAAGCAATGGTGAAAACAGCAAATAATAAGACGAAAGGTAGAAGCACGGGTTTACTAAGTTAACAAAAACCCATCTGGCCCTGAACTTCAAGAACCAAATGAAGAAAGCTCAGTCCAGGTGAGAGTGATCGCAAATTCATAAAAATGAAGAGTTCTTATATGCTCGATGAAAGATGATGCAGCAGGAAGTGAATTATTTTAAAAAATATTTGCAAAACATTGATTGTGTGATCAAACATTAACCGTGGGTTACAGACAGACAAATCGGAACAGCAGCGCTATCTGACTGCGCTACGAATGAAAACGCATCAGTGCACTCAACCAAGTCCGAACTGCAGATTCATAGACAACACTTGAATATACTGGGATCAGCTCACTTAGAAATACGGAGTCATCATCAAGCGTCAAGAAATAACAAATCGCTACGGTGTACTGGGTGTTTCGCCACCATACATTCAAGGCTTAGCAGAGCCGACGGGACAAAAACGAAAACAGGTAAACGGCAGGAGTATTCCGCCCCCAACTCTACACAACACGACCAATTTCCATCTCAGGTAGAGATAAATAAGTTGAGACACGAAGTCGGGAACTAGAGATCATGGGTAAATTTCTTTAACATTACAGTACCGAGATCTTCGGACAACAGCTGTTCCAAGTAAAACAACTGTCCAAATTGAGACTACCTGCCGTAATACATGTGCATATGGGATACAAAGGAGCTGGAAGAAAACACATCATCATCAACAACAACAGCAATAGATCAGCCATCTGAACAGATGCATGGCTGCCGTACAACCCCGGTGTACAACGGAAGGGGGACCTACCGGAAAAGCTTAATGCCCTAAACAAACATTCAGGGTCAAGGCGCCCACAGCTTGTCAACAATATATAAATAAATAAATAAATCTTTTATTCTCAAAAAGGTGAGGCACGCCTTTACAGGCATGATCATTTTGACATAACGATGCATGATCAAGAATGTGCAAAAATCCGATTTGTTTGCCATAGCAGTTTGTGTTTGTGTAGGGGGTATGTATGTATGTCATTGTGTGTGCATGTGTGTGTAGCTGTGTATTTTGTGCTTGTAGTTGTGCTGCTCCAATCTTCAATGTTTGATATCGTCATCAATATGCGAGTAGGAGATTGGTGTCCGTGGGTTGGAGAGAATTATCCGGATATCCACGGGCAGTGACTTTATTTTGTGACGAGTCACGACCGCCATGTCACAGTGTTGTTAAGCAGACATATGTGGCTTTTTATAGGGAGAACGCTTGCCAGGCGAAACCCACAACGTCCTGGAACACTGCCGCCGAACTATTTGCTGGAACGGGTTAAACCCGAACCACCCAGCTGGCACCACGAGGAGGTTGTTCGGCTAGCCACAAATAACTATCTATCATGTAAACATAAGGCGGCCTCAAGGGGACAGCTTCCATGCGGCTTTCACTGCCCCACGTCATAATGAACCATTGCCCCGCAGATAACCCAGCACCCAATACACTTTAAACAGGCAGTCCGACTATGAGACGACAGTAGACACGCCATTGGTGCTGACTGCGAGCCATAACAACACAAGGAAATGTGATTGGTCCACTAAGTGTATTGGGTCGAGATCGTCTACATTACGTAAAGAAAACGGCTTGGGTTTTCCGTACTGACTAGAAGGAAGTTGGTTGTCTTCAGCTTATGATCGAGAAGCGAGAGATTAAAGTTAGATCAAACGAATAGAGCTAAACGCTTTTCACAGTGCAGGGATTCACAGAGCCAGAGTGAGCACAGGCGCTGCAATCCACAGTCCGTTCGTCGGACCATTGAGAAGCCGAGTAGCGATAAGGAGAAGCCTCGGCAATCCAGAAGATAGAAAACTTCCGGTAGAACCGAGGAAACAGGATGAAGACGAGAGGTTATGGCAACAGTGAGTGAATGGGGCAGGTAGTTTCAGTGAACGAACTCGGCACAGCGATGTATGTTTAAGCATGTATTCGTACCAGTCTAACGAATACACATAGAGTCAAACAGAACCATGGAAATCAACGACACACTAACAACGCCGGCACACTGTACCGACGCTTCGCTGCCACGCGGGCACCACCGGTCGCGCGTGGGCTGAGTATACCGCGAAGACATCTGCCCATGTGCGGATTCGAACCGGTGTCCTTATGATTGCAAGCCAGGCGTGTAGACCACTCGGCCACCGGCCGACGATCCAACGGTAGCAAGACATGAGGTCAACGATTTCATATGCTGTCGCTAGTTGGACGACTGACCACTGCTTGGTCACTTCCAGCCAAGTCCTGCACGAGCGAAAAGCGTATAATGGGTAAACGCTCGGCTGACATACGTAGGACGTGACCGAGTCATCGTAACTGGCGCAGTAAAACCAGCTCATTTAAGGGGATACACATTTCCTAAGACATGACGTCGGACTTTGCCGTTGCAGATACGTTGCTGCCACCACACGTGAGCAAGTCTCCTCAAGCATCCATTATCGAAGGCCGAGAGCCACCGCATGTCATCCACGACAGGCCAACCCTCGCACCCATATAGCATTGGAAAAACAACCCTTTATCAAGAGGAAGAAACCTCGACAGCGCCACAAGTGTTTCAGGTTAAAAAACGCAGACTGGGCTTTGGCGATGACAGCGCCATTAGCAGACACGCAACGGCTCAGGTATACAAAGCTACCAAGGTGTTCAAGCTGTGCACCATTAAGAGTGAGAACTGAAACGGACGAGTGCCAAACCTGTAGCAGCGGTTTGCACTTCGATGGGGTGAAGCACATTCCGTAACTAGATGCCTCGATCGCCAAACGGTTTAGAATAGTTTGCATACTCCGCGAGTCGTCAAGAAGTAGGGTGGTGTCATCGGCATAATCTAGGTCGGTTTCTAGTTTACCCGGAAGTAGTTGTAGCCTAGACTGTTGGTAACGCTCCAGACCTCTCGACAGGATGCCTTCAATCGCAAAATTGAAGAGGAACGGGGACAAAGGGCAGCCCTGTCGTACACCGTTATTGACAGCGAGGGACAAAGATTGCCATAAAATCGCATCTGCCGGAGATATGGAGGTAGAGTGTTCGCAGGACGGTAGTATACTTTCACGGGACCCTGTTCCTTAAAAAGCAACGCCATAGTGCAGGTCAATCAATCGAGCTAAATGCAGCACGGGTGTCGAGGAATGCAACGATGATAGGCCTCTTGTACACGTGGCAGTGTATGAGAATGCAGCGGAGCGTAAAGATTTGACCAACACACGCACAGCTAGGAGAGAAGCCAGCCTGTTCTTCCCGGTACCGTGATTCACGAATGGATGTCAATAGCTTAGAGGCAAGCGAAATGAGACTAATCCCCCGTTGATTAGTGCATGAAGTGCGAGCACCCTTCTTAATAATCGGGTCGAGAACTGTTATGCCCCAAGAAGAAAGCAACTTTTTTCAATCTAAATTTTCGGAAACAATGAGTCAGCAAGCTGATGACAACTGCGCGTCCGAAGGAAGTCCGTCTGAGCAGGCAGTCTTGAATCATTTCAAGGGATAATAGATAAAGGGCCAGTCAAGTGCCGCTCATGCGCGGGAAACGCAGTGGGTGGGCGGGATAGGTGCGGAATAGCATGAGAATATCAGTGTGGTTTCAGACAACGGAGAATTGGATAGATAACAATAATGGTGGATGAACAGCGCATGTGCGTCAATGAAATTGGGCTGGTAACATCGAGTTTAGTGTCCTCTGGTTAACTGGACACACGGCTACGACGCAGGACGACTGCTGCTCACGCCAGTTGAGGAGGAGAGGAAGGGGAAAGATATCAGCAGTGCGGCCATGCACGGCACTGACGCTTCGCTGCTACTCAACCTACACCAGTTGCGCGAGGACCACGGATTCCGGGAGATGGTCCGCAACTACAGAGATTCAACAGGTGACAACCTGGTTACAAGGCAAACGCTTCCATTCCGGCCATCAGACAATTTGAGCGCACATGCCGACTGAATAACAATGATTTGGCGCGGCCTCGCAGGAGCTAAGTTCAAGGTGGCACCGGATGGTGTGGTGTGGTATGGACCCAGTGGTGACCGGAAGCGCACACCGAAAAATGTCCACAGCGTTTTGGCAAATACGCTAAAACTGATCATAATATTTGTTTGTGAGATTGACGAGATGCCAGTTATGACCTTTGCCTCCAACAGTTGCACAGTGTTACAATAACATCCAAGCTGCCCGCTACTTCGATCTCGCGGCACGTACTGCATATCGAAACCAGGGTGACGCATTCACAATATAGGTGGAAATTCATCACATCTAGACTCAGACAGCCATCACACGCCCGGAAAAGCACTATACGCGCGTCTCATTCTTTCGGGAATCGTCAGCAGTGCGCATTCCATCGGACCCTGGTAGGGCTCGAACCCGCAACTCGACTGTTGCCAGTCCGTGGTTGAGATCAGTGAGCTACGATGGACGGAAACAACCGTAAATAAGTTATAGTGCTTAAAGTTGGACTTGGAGAATCCGCTGTGTGTGTGCTACAAGCAACCTCTATTGAGACCTCGGTTCACTTGAGGTGGACCTCGGCCATTCCGATCACAAGGACCGAATGTGAAATGGAAATATTTTTGGTGTTGCTCAATCCAACACTGGCACCCCACGAAAGCGGTTTCGTCCTAGTTTAGACTCATCAGGTGGAGATAGCCTGAGCTAAGGTAGCAATCAGAGCATAGTGGTTCACGGCTGATGGCATAAACACTATGCCACTGAGATCCGTGAGCAACGCTTGGTACAGCGGGGACCAATTCAAAGTTGGACTTGGAGAATCCGCCGTGTGTGTATGCTTTTCCGGGCGTGTGATGGCTGTCTGAGTCTAGATATGACGAATTTCTACCTATACAATTTAACTCCCCATACTACTCCTCTGCATTCACAATACCAAACGAACTGAGCAT